TCCAAAGTGCTTTTATATTTTTTGAGACTTTTTTCAGAGTAAAACGTGGTCATAAAATAAAGATTATTTATTTTATGTCTCTCATGGACTCGCTTTGTAGACCAGGCTGGCCTTGAACTCACAGAGATCCATCTGCTTCAGCCTCCCAGATTGCTGAGATTAAAGGTCGGTGACATCACACCTGGCTTTGGTGTTAGAGTTTTATAATTTCTTCTTGATAGAGAAATAGGCTTAAAGAAAGCTATTTTTTTCCCTGCAAGGGGCTAAGATTTATTGTCTCTTAAAAAACACCCTCTGTTAATAGTTATTACTAGGAAGAACATGAGAAACAGTTCCACATGTAAAGAAAACCATCGTGTTAAAGGTCTGATGGGGAAGATCTATTTTTCTACCAGCCTTTAATTTTGCATTTCATATTGAAATAATTGTTTTGGTTAAAGAACCTGTCTCCTTTTGTGTTTGTTTGTGTTGTTAACAATTTAAAACCATTTTCCTTTAGACCTAGTTTTCACATTTAAAAATAATAAAACATTTATTGGTCTTTGAAACCAAGGGAGTAAACATGAGTCTTTCATCTTTGAGGACTTTGGTTTAAATCTGACTCAGTTTGAGCTAAAACAAATTTGATCCTGTACTTCTCTAACCTTTCAGTGTGAATAATAATTACAACTAACTCAAATCCTTCCAAAATATGTAAGGAATATGAAACACATTCCTTTGTAAGCTAGTTCATACAAGCCATTTAGTAACAGATTTAGAAATGAGTTTGTTCACAATTTTTTTTTTTGCTTGTTTGTTTAACAGTCCCAGTAGTGGGCAGCTATTATAATGTCTTTCTGTTTTATGATCTGAGCAAAATCTTTGCTAAGGAGTTATGCTGGAGTTCAATAAACAAAAGTCACTAAAAACTAATAACCGATTAGTGGCTGCCAAACAGCTTCTCATCTGTGGTGACAGGAACCATGGCAAGGCCTCAGCTGTCGCAGCTCAATATAGATGTCATTGATTACCGCTGAAACACTGTTCCAAATCATCATTATTCACAACTACTGCTGGTACCAGAAACTGTGTGACCTTCAGTGTATGAGTCTCTTAGGACGTAACTTGTGAGCGCCCACCTTTCTAACTAGATGTTAGTGTTTTTGCACTGGGGAGGCGCTACCCTGACAAGCTGCTGATTAGTGTGTGGGATGCTTTAAAGGCAAGGGCAGGAGTAATTGAAGTTGAACTCCAACTGACACTGATGACCTGGATTACCTCTAATGTCCCTTCTGGGAGGCAGGGATGTGTCGATCACTCAAGCATCACTGACTGATCCCTCTCCTTGTCAAGCATCAAACATCTCTTGGACAAGCATCGTATGAGCCCTGGATTGATGACATTCTTATTTCCCTTCTTTTCTTTCTAAACATTTTTCTTCCTTGGGACCGCTTGATACTTACAAACAAGGGTTTTCATACCCAAACCAAGAAGCAACAGGCCCCAGGACTCATCAAGTGATCTGGTGTTTCCAAGTGAATGATAACAGACAAAAAAGGCGCACTCTAGCCCTTCTCAACGCCTAAGTAATGCTAGTCTGCCCCCAATGATCCAGGAATGGAAGCCTTGAGCTCTGTGGGAAGATTCCTTCCAGCCAGATGCAATCCCAACTGAATGGCAAACAGTGAACTATTTCAACTTAGTCCAATCAGTTTTAATTTGCTAAACGAAACAGTGACTGTATTGTATGCCGTGAACAATTTTCGCTGGCAAGCTGAAATTTCATTACATGGCATCTGAAGCCAGTTGTAAAACCTAACATAGTGCAAATAACCACATCTGATAGGTCATTAACTTACATTGTTAATTTAACTATGCAGGGAACAGCTGTGGGCTGCTTAGTACAATCTCACCAACTGCAGCCGCTTATACAGGACCCCTTCCGGGGTGCTGTGCCCCCTGAGGCCAGTCCCCAGCCCTCACAGTGCTTCTAGGCATGACTGTCACATGATGCTTCCTCCCTGTAACTCAGTCATCTTTCAACAACCTTGAGGATGATTGGGTACTCTGAGTGCTTTTGTAAACTGGCAAGAGAGAAATCCAGTATGTAGAGATGCATCAGGGTCTGTTCATATCACAAATATCTTTGAGGGAGAGCAGGGGTTCTGAGTGCTGTTTACACTGCCATTGGCTGGTCTGACATTCAGAAATACCATGTGACTACCCAAAACTTTCCCAGACTTTACTGATGTCAGAGGCTGGATTTTGATGCTTCTGTTCATTAGAAGTCTGTGTGTTCTTGTTCAGCAACTATTATTGGATACTTCTCATGAGCCCGGCAGCATTCTGCATCCTGGGAATAGGCAATGGGATGAGTCTGACACTGTGCCAAAATGCTGTATTAATTAAGTAGGCTTGCAGTTGACATTAGAAGGAGAAAATATAATGTGCAAGGGAACTGTCAAATTGGGCCTGACTTCATCCTCAAATACGAGAGGCTTTCTTGAAGAGGTAACATAGAAAAGTGTGCCTTAAGGGAAGAGAGATGGGAAATTCAAAAATTGGAGTGAACCATTTCAGAAGGTGGGGGTTTCAGGACTGAAGGCTCTGAAGGCTAGCAGAAAGGGCTTATTCCCAATAGAAGAGGGCTATAGCTCAGGATTTTTTAATTTTAATTTTTTATATTAAGTACAGTTTATTCACTTTGTATCCCAGCTGTAGCCCCCTCTCTCCTCCCCTCCCAATCCTACCCTCCCTTCCTCATCTACTCCTATGCCCCTCTCCAAGTCCACAGATAGGGAGGTCCTCCTCCTCTTCCATCTGACCCTAGTTTATCAGGTCTCATCCAAAATGACTGCATTGTCCTCCTCTGTGGCCTGGCAAGGCTGCTCCCCCATCCACAGGAGGTGGTCAAAGAGCTAGCCACTGAGTTCATGTCAGAGAGAGTCCCTGTTCCCCTTACTAGGGAACCCACTTGGACACTGAGCTGCCATGGGCTACATCTGAGCAGGGGTTCTAGGTTATATCCATGAATAGTCCTTGGTTGGAGTATCAGTCTCAGAGAAGACCCCTGTGCCCAGATATTTTAGTTCTGTTGCTATCCTTGTGGAGCTCCTGTCCTCTCCAGGTCTTACTATCTCCTCCTTCTTTCCTAAGATTCCCTGCACTCTGCCCAAAGTTTGTTTTTGAGTCTCAATATCTGCTTGTATACAATGCTGGTTAGAGTCTTTCAGAGGCCCTCCATGGTAGGCTCCTGTCCTGTTTCCTGTTTTCTCCTTCTTCCAATGTCCGTCCCATTTGCCTTTCTGAGTGAGGATTGACCATTTTACCCAGGGTCCTCCTTCTAACTCACCTTCTTTAGGTGTTCAGATTTTTGTAGGTTTATCCTATATTATATGTCTAATATCCATTTATAAGTGAGTATATCCTGTGTGTGTGTGTGTTTCTGTTTCTGGGTTACCTCACTCAGGATGATCTTTTATAGCTCAGTTTTGATGGCACAAATCAGGGAGGGTTGTATTTGGATGTTGGACATTTATAAGATGGAAGTGACAGGTTGTACTGATCATTGGGAGGTAGGCAGTAGGAGTGGAAGAGATTAGGGATCCCTGACCTGTGCTGGCAGCTTCAGGATGAAAGTCAAGTGCTTAGGATCCCAGCAAGAATTTCTACAAGCAATAAGGCAAATAACAAGTTTTTCATTCGGAATATGGAGGCTGAAGTCCCGTGAGACATCAGTTTGCCTAGTGAGAGACCCAACATTTGATAGTGGTTTTCATAATATTTATCAAAGTAATAGGAACAGATTCTAGTCCAGGGAGCCTAAAGCATTTGGAGGCTTATAGACAAGTCTTCAGGGGTCTTAAAATACCTTGTTTTTTCTTCTGTTTTTGTGTTTCCTTTTGTTAAGCTGATTTACTGTTTTTGAGACAGAAACACATATAGCTCAGTCTGGCCTCCAACTCAGTGTATATCTAAGCATGACCTTGGTCTCCATGTCCTTCTTCCTCTGCGCTCAGAAGCACACACTACCATGACCTGTTTCACCCGACACTGGAGCTTTGCGCATGCTGGGCAAGCAATATGCCAGCTTAGCCACCTCATTAGGCTTTTCTTCTGTCATGCCTTTCCAGACATGGTCTCACTATTGTAGCTTGGTTGGTCTCAAGCTCATGATCTGCCTGCCTCAGTTTCCCCTGTACTTGGTTACATGTGTGGCCCACCATGCCCAGCTACCTTCGTATGCATTAACTCTGAGCTTTGCACTGATTACCAGGGAAAGCTGATGGGATATTGCCTTTCTAGGACATAGAGGCCTCCCGAGTATGTGATTGCCTAATGCCATGGAGCAACAGCTCTGGTTCTCAGCACAGGATTCCTCTTGTGTCACCAGGTTGTCTCTCTGCCTCACCAAGGGCAGTTGCACAGCTCTCAGGGATTGATGGCAGGTAGAATCACACCATTTTTTTTACACTAATATGCATGGTGATATGAAAAGTGAAACAACAATTATTTGATTAAATAATTTTTAGCATTAGAAGTATTGTGTGAAGGAAAGTAAATACATATTTTTCTGAGTTCTACTAATGTACAAAATACTGCAAACAAAACATCTGTCCTTACCTTTCATTCCTATATCTGCTCCTAAAGTGGCAGAACAGTGTAAAATGACTCAAGGTATTTTCCCCTGGCCCAGGTGTTCCCAGGAAGTTTGCCTCAGGGGTTTGCAGAAGATGGGAGGCACAGCTGGCTGGACTCAGAAAAGAGTGGGAAAATCTTCACCCCCATCCAGCCTTATCCATTTATTGTTGTCCCTTCCTTTAAGCCCCAGGGGACTATAGTGATTAAATGAGAAGGAAAGCTATCTTGTGTCTAGGTCTGAGGGAGCTGTGACAGCCTCTGCTCTCTCTCTCTGCATAAGCACTCAATCCAGGGAAGGACTTTCTGACAGAGTGTAACCTTTTTCTGTGTCCTGGCATCCCTCAAGCTCTTGCTGTTGTTTCTCTTGGTGCTCCCAACAGCTCCTGGACTGTTTTGTGATCCCCGTGGTGATTTTGCTCTCCTGGTTTTTTCTGCTGATCCGGTACAAGGCTGTACATTTCATCGGCATCGTGGTCTGCATCCTGGGAATGGGCTGCATGGTGGGAGCTGATGTGCTTGTGGGAAGGCACCAGGGAGCAGGTGAGTCTTGGGGCGGTCACCAGGTCACTCACCTCCATGAGTGGGACCAAAGGGAGATCTGGAATGTCTGCAGTTGGGTAGAAACAAGCCTCCTAGGAACGTGGTTCTTCCCATGACAGAGTGCTGTTCATGGTTTTCCTCCATACCCAAAACAGTAACACATAGAACATCCTTGATATATATGTCTTTGGTGAATACAAGGTGTAAAACTCAGAGACATTCATACACTTTTTAAAACCGAGATCACTACCTATGTGGAGGAAACTTTTGAAGGTCACAGCAGCTGGCTTGGAACAGCTAGTTAAAGGAAGTATGGACAATCCAATCAGCAGCTCAGCCACAACGCCTTTCCCATTCTTCCTCCCCCAGACTGAGCTCTGTCAAGTCAGAGAAAGACTAAACTTCCAAACTGCTGGGTGAAGGTTGGTTTACAGGCCAGAGAATGGTACTTACATCTGGAGACCAGAGTAGGATGTGCTGTGTCTCTGAGGCTAGGAGCCATCTTATGCAAGGTTTTGTTGTTGTTGTTAACTTTTTTTTAATGGGAAGGGTCGTTACATTGGTCACAGCTTGCAGCCTATAAGGCAGAGCTTTGTAATTAAGCCAGCAAATCCATCTGACTCTTCTGGGGGGAACCCTGATCCCAGTGACTTCTGGAAGGATCTTCTTAATGGGTTTCAATTCTCGTGCTACAGAAAGAGTTGTAGAAGAGGAAAAATGGTATGCATACACACCCCTTTTCTGCAGTCAGGAGTAGAGTAGAAAATACTCACTTTCTAAAGGCCTTGGAATTTCCCCTTTTTTTGTAAAATGTTAGGTAATGAAGAGTTGGAATCAGGACATTTTGCCTTATGAGACAAGGCTACATGAAACCTCTGAAATGATGTTGCTTACATTACATCATAGAAGTTTGTAGAGGAAAAAGAGCCTCCTTCAGCCTCCTTTATAATTGATATGAGGGAACACCGAGTTCTGGGAAAGCCAAGTGAACTATCCAAGGTCACAAGGCTGAGACCTGAAGGCCTAGGTCCCTGGGCTCCTATCCTTCCAGGCAGGCTTTCTTCCTTCCACACTGCTAACAGCTGAAGCTACAGTGCAGAATAAAACAGAGATTTCCTCAGTCTCCCAGACCTGCAGCCTGGGCATTAGGAATCCCTACCTCAGCAGGCGGCTTAGAAATACACACCCACCATCTCCCCAGTTCTTCTTTGAGTAACACTTGTTCTGTGGCCTATTAATAGTGTATCAAAGGTCTGACTGTGTGCTTTATACAAATAGTCAATGTTCTTGATAGTCTCTTCTGGACTCCTCAGATAGTATTCTGTCTGATACAATGTCTAAACTTTCTAGGCACTGTATAAACACAGATAAACAGAAGTATATATCCTTAATTAGAAAAATTTTGGCTATTGACCCTTGCTATTATTCTAGTCATCATATTATTCCATAGTCAATCATGACAGTTATTCCTATAACTTGGAATGTTTTGTCCCCAAATAATAAGTTAACTTTGAACTGATTTATTAGATAATTTATGTTAATCCTGTGAAAATGTTTTCCAGCTCTAGAGTGCTAGGAAAACAGTAGTAGTTAAGGAAAAAAGACAATAAATCCATTCGAGAGCCTTTCCTTAAGTGGTCACTTGTTGTTGTTGTAATTGAAATGAAGACACTGCTAAACCACACTGAAGTGTAGCAGTGCTGACCTGCTTGAGGCTCACAGCATCGCCTTTTGTGACATGCAAAGCATCAGTGATAACAGAATTAGATCTTATCACTGTAGAACACGCTCTGTGCTACTGAAGTGGTGCTCAAGTGTATAGATACATGCCTCAAGGCCAGTGCAAACATAAATTTCAAGGGCTCACTGAATATATATATACTTTATCTCCATAAAATATTGAATTGGGCAGAAATCTGAACTTTCACATAATATTTTTTCACATATTTTTTAAAAACACATTGGTTCTGAAATCAGTATAATTTTACAACTTGTATACATTATTCTTAAAATTATCCCACTTGTTTCTACATTTACAGTACAATGGGTTCAATTGTATTAATCAGCCAAGATCACCCGGCTTTTCTGAAATACTTTGGATATTCACAAGACCTTTAATGAATCATTCGACTCAGATAAATCCTTACAATTATATCAAGAGCTTTTCAAAGAAAAACAGAACATCTGACTTTAACTTTTATTATATTACTTAAATCCTGCTTCCTCTTAGCTTAAGATTTTTGTCAATTCTGCCCCCAAATACATTGATTTTAGCTAACTCACAATGAGTTTGGCCTCATTATAGTTAGTAGTTTTAATTTTCTTTGTTGGTATGTTTCTTCCTCTGCTCACCAAGAATTCTTCCTTGATTTAAGCCTGGATGAAGGAACCTTCTCAGGTAAAAGCATGTGTAGGCCCAGAAAGAAGTACCAGAATGAGTGCTGCTGAGGAAACTTCCTTATCATGTCTACCTGATGCAGACAAGGGGCAAAGGAAGATGCCCAAGCTCCTGGCATGGGAGAGCTCACTTTGACACCCCTAGAGTGCCTATCATGGATACAGCCAGCCACCTCCCATAGAACGTTCTATAGTGTGAAGCCCTTCAAATGTAGATTTCTTTTCTTAACTTCTTTTTCTTTAGTTGACCAGCCATAACTCTAAAAATGGGGTGGAGCTGTGTGTATGGCCCTGCCAAATGCTTGTTGCCCTTACGAGGACCTGCATTTGTTTCCCAACTCCCACATCTGGCATCTTACAACTGCCTGTAACTCCAGCTCCTAAAGATATGACATCCATGTGTGCGCATGAATAAAAATAAATCTTAAAAGATAAACAACTTTACAAGACTAGTCACTAAAAACAATGTCAACTTTTTAGGACTCTTGAAAGATAGACTGATGTTCCTTTTGTTCAAAATATTTCATTATGACCTCGTTTTCCTGAATCCATTTACATACAGTTAATTTTATTAACTAACAATTCTATATTTCACTAGTACAATAATAATTGATATGCATAGCAAAGACTTCCTGTCATTACAAGATTCTGAAATGTTTCCTGGATGAAAAGAGACTTAAAAGATGTGCTTTAGAATTTTGGGTATGGACCTCATCAAGTTCAAAGATTTTCAGACGTCCATAGCTGACACATGAAGATCAATCAGTTGCTGAAGCTTTCCCTATCACAGCAACCTTCATTTCTCTAACAGAGATGCCCAGGGATCTTCCTCCAGGTCTGCTTTCTCATCAGGGCCTCATTATGTTTCTGCTCACTGCTGAAGAGTGATGGCCGTCTCTCCATGGACTCAAGTCTTGCAGGCCTCCCTCCCAAAAATTGTGTCCTCCCAAAACTCATTCCCTTGAGAGTAACTTGAACAAGCTGTTGTCTTTCAGAGTCTCTCCCTCTCTCTCTCCCTCCACTTCTGATCAGGAGTGAGAAGTTCCCTGGAACAGGCTGATGCCATTCAGTATAGGGATATAAATTGAAGTGAGCAAATACTGAAGTCCTTCCCAGCCTGCCTCAATTCACATGAGCCCTCTAGCTGGAGGATGTCCCAAGCTCCCCAAAGAGCAGTGACTGCCTTCTTCTACAGTCTTAGGGTTGTTCAGATAATCTCAGCATGCAGAGATTTTCTCGGTGAGTCTCTTCCTTAAGAGGACTGTCACAGCATACACCTTTCCCATCCTTCACGGCTCTCCCAGAGCCGTGTGTCTGCCAAGCTGATAGTTGCCTGCCACCTGATGCACAGAGCCAGATGCCACTAGAATAGAGAGCCCACCAGGTAGGCCATTCCAACTGCTTACTCTCATTCTCCCTTTTCGTCCTTCTATCTACGCTACTTGAAGTGGGAAGAGTTTGCCTAATTATAGGATAAAGTATTTATCAAAATTTTCTACATAAACCAGAACCAATTCAAACTGAGTTTGAAAAAAAATGTGATTTTTGTTTGAAAAAATAAATTATTAATGTTATAGTGAATTATATATTTTTTCATTCTTAAGTTGTCAGGGAAATTGAAATCTTATAAATCCTTTCAGTCTCCTTGTGCACATCTTGCATATGGTCAAAAATGTAGTTCTGAGCACTGTTATACCTTCTCTTTCTGCATAGAAAAGGGTGGAAACTGACTTGCTGGGTTCATAACAGATTCAATGAACAGATGGTAAATACCCTGAAACAAAAATTAATATGTGTACATATTAGCATATATTTGCAGACACATTCCTAGACAGAGACATGAGCTTTGGGGAGAATTAAGCTGAAGAAAACTTCATTCTTAAGGAAAACTTCCAGTTCCGTGATGATAGGTAACTTTTTATATCCCAGCACATCTAGAAACCATAATTTTAAAATCTCTACGTTTGAAATTGTTTGGGCTTTGTATAAAAGTATCAGAAAAATATAGACAACCGAAGCACAGTTTTCTGGTGCCAGATGCTTGTCAACAAGATTGCCCTGTGGACCCATCTGCTTTCTTTGTTTCCTAGGGGAGAATAAGCTAGTAGGGGACCTCCTGGTCTTAGGAGGAGCCACACTGTATGGAATCTCTAACGTCTGGGAAGAATCCATCATCCGAACTCTGAGCCGAGTGGAGTTCCTGGGAATGATTGGTCTCTTTGGTGCATTTTTCAGTGGAATTCAATTGTGAGTAAAAATAACAAGAAGCATAAAGGCTATATGAAGTCAGTTTCATTTTTACAGTTTTTGCCCTTGGAGTGTAAAAACCAAGGCAGAAATACAATCACCAAACTTGCATGTAAAGATCTTATTCAAACTGCAAAGTACATCCTTGTTAGTAAATTGCTTCTCAACTAAATAAATGTACTATAAATTATATAAAACATTTAATAGATGTTGAGGATGATTTTTCAAGAGATAATTAGAAGCATACCCATTCTTCCAGTGAGTGAACTATAATCTATAAAGAAGGTATAAGTGAAGCACAAATGTCATGATTTGACGCCCTTCAAGCCCAGGGAATGTTTTATTAGGTACAGCTGTTAAGAAATTCCTACTTCAAAATTGAACTTTTACTGGAGAGATGGCTCAGCAGTTAAAAAAACACTGGCTGGCTCTTCCAGAGAATCTAAGTTCGATACTCAGGACCCATATGGAGGCTTATAACCATCCTGAACTCTAGTCCCAGGGCATTGGATACCCTCTTCTGGTCTCCTTGGCTACCAGGCATACATGTGGTGCAGAGACATGCATGTAAGCAAAACACCCAATTACATGAAATAAAGTGAAACAATTTTTAAAAATAAAATTGCCCTTTTCTAGGTATTCCTTATTGCTTATGGGTTTGTAGCATATTTCAAATTCAACTATCAGAATTTAGCATTCTCTTTTCTTTAAAAAGGCAGGGACATAACACTGAGATTCACTAAATGTCAAAAAAGCGAAATACACCAGATTTCCAATATTTCCAAAATTGAAGCAAAAATCATTCCTTAATGCACTATCTACCCCCTCAGAATTTGTTGTAGATGAAACATAATTTCTACCAGTAAAGAGCATATTTAATTTATATGAGGAGTGAAGTGTAGTTTTACCAAATAAGCAACTGTTATTCCATGAAATTTCTTTCTACAGAACATACTCTTCGCAATTGTATAAGTTTGTTGTCAGAAATCACTTGAGAAAAATGTTTTGGTATTACCTGAAGTGTTTTGTATATCGGATGTTTCCAGAACATTCTTCAAAATCTAAGTGACCTGAAATACTGGTATAAACTCTACAGCAGGCAAGACACAGAAATGGGAAAGCTGGGGATTTACTTAGGGTTCATTATGAAAATGTGATGGCATTGTGAATCTCCTAGATTTGTTGATTTATCTTTGGGAGAAGAAAAAAAGGATTATTTAGATCAACTATGCATGGGTGACATTTTAGAGATGGATGGTTCATTTTATGCATTTATTATTATTATTATTATTATTATTATTATTAATATTATATATATATATATATATGTTCAAAATATATAGCCAGAGGTCCACTGCTCTTTTGCTTGGTTACACTCTGCCATTGCTATATGGAGCTCTGTGGGATGCGCTGCTGCCAAAGAAGGGCTTTGTATGGTGAATGAGATATGTTGAGGGTCGGCTGGACCCAAACCCTTGCTGGCTGCCACCCATCACCCAAGTAGTGCTCATCAGCAATTCATCTCCGAGTCCCTCCAAGCTTTCCTGGACCTGAAGGTCTAGGGAGGAGATCCCCAAGACAGTGCATTAATACTCCCCAAATGCCTGTAATCATGTAACTCTGAGACCCACTGCTCTATTGATTGTGCAGTGAGTAAACCTGTAAGCACAGAGTTTTCTAAATCTGGCCATTTGCTTTCCCAAAAGCACACGGCCAAAAAGAAACTAACCCCTAAATGCCTGTTTGGTTGAGGACAGTGAGGTTTAAATTCCACCAGACCCACATTGCTGCTGGCCACACCCAGCAAGACCTTTCAGGGAGAGACCACAGGCTGCCTCTACAGGGGCCAATTTAATTTTGAAGTTTAGTTGGTTGCTTTGTTATTTGTGTAAATAGGGTAAATGACAGAAAAGGAAACCAAGTGTGTGTGACCATCTTGCTCATTTCTTTGACTCTACAGAGCCATCATGGAACACAAGGAACTGTTAAAGGTGCCCTGGGATTGGCAAATAGGTAAGGACCCACTCACTTAAGATTCTGGGTTGTTATTTTCTTTTCTTTTTTTTTTCTTTTCTTTTGTAAATCTGAGAAATGTGTTTGAAAAGTTGTGTGGGTAAGAACGGATGGGACAGATTACAAGGAAGGGATTTAGAATGACAAGGGACAAAAAAAAAAAAGATGAAATTATCTTACCATGTTAGAAAGTCCTTCACACAATAAGGCTGGATTTCCTGAATCATCTTATTTCCTGCTTGAGCTTCTGCCAGTTGGTGTTTTATGGGAGACACAGAAGTGTGTTATTAGGTTAAAGACCAACCAGAAAAGAAAGGCCCAAGGCAGTATGGTGCAGAAGCAAGAGCAATTTGCTGCAGTCAAGAAATACAGAATTGATGTGCTCATTAAAAAGTAGCACTTTGGTAACGGGGAAACTGAACTTAACAAAAAGCATGAGAAGAAATAACACAATGGGCATTCAAGGCTCTTGGGAACACTTTCAGAAGGAAGCACTTAGGCTTAAGAAATTGTCAAGTGATCTCTAACTGGCCTTGGGAACACTAGACAGGCATTTGACTACTTGGGTAGACATCCAGGGCATCTTAGAGTCTACCTGTTTCTAAAATCACTCCCTTTATACACTTTTAGGATGTGGATTTCAGCTCTTTGGTGCTTCTTTCATGACTGGTCATTCTGCAAGACCTAAAAGGAAGAGCCTCTTAATTTACTCAGGAATTCTATCTTGAGGCATAGGATCCCAGCAGTGAACACAGCTTGAGTTTAGGTCCAATCGAGCAGTGCTAGAAAAATGTGTAAAGAATGAATGTAAATCAGGTTTGGGCTTTGCAGGTATCTCACCACTTCCAATACAGGGATCTCTGGCATAAGTGACGGCTTCAGTGTATTTCCTTTCCATTGAAAAAGAGATCTGGGCCATATTTTCTGCACCACTGGACCCACCCCCCAGCCTGTAAGCCTTCAGAACTGCTTTACTACCAACATTATGCCCTCTGGTGGCTGAGCGAGTGACAGTTTGTAGGATGGGTGGGTTATCTCAGGGACTTCAGACAAGGGCTAACTCCTCACCCTTATGTTTGTGCCTGAGCCCTCCGTTTGTCTCTCAAGTATGGATAGGGAATGCTGTAATTAAATGTAATTAAATGAGAATCAATAGAGAGGGGGAGGAGAAAGAGGCGAGGAGGACTGTTGGAAAGCAACCAACAGCAAGGACCAGAAGCATGTGCCTTTGTGACTCTTGAAGCCGGGACTCTGAAACAACGTGACTCATGCTTCTTAGCACTTTACAGACAGTGGTGTGGGGATCACTTAATTCAATATTGATGGTAATGGCAGTAATCAAAAGGAATTTGTCCTCTCATTAGGGAAATGTCCTGTGCGTGCCACTGAGACTGTTATAATTCAGTGTTAGTTAAATGTGCCGACACAAGGTAGTTTTATCCTAAGCTCTCATATGACCATTAAGATGTCAGGCCTCTGCAGCCCAAGATAATGAAGGCTGTGTAAAAAGAACATATCACCAGTCCATCAAATTAATTCCTGGTTAGAAGTAAGGTTAAAATGGCACAGGTATAGGATCAAATATTCTTTTTTTTTCTTCTTTCTTTCTGAAGCACTTGCTTGCTTAGATTAGAGATTTTATACCTCAGCCACCTTTGTCCCCGTAAGCTCACTCTGATTAGCTATATGGTCTGGTTGTCTAGCTCAGACATAGGCACGGGAATGTGACATTCAGTAAGCCAATGATCATTAAGTGAGCAGATGAGTGGATGACAGCAGAAGAGATGGGTCTCTCTGTTCTTAGAGTCAAACCACCAAAAGGAAGCAGTGGCAGCCATAGCAGAGGCTGGAGACCAGGTTGCCCTGTCTTCTGAGGAACTGAGAAATGGCAGAGCAGACACTGAAGCTCATGGACCAAAGAGGCATGGAAACACGAGTAGAGGTCAACATCCTGTTACCATTCCCCACAGACTTCAGGAGGTCAACCAAGGCCCCAAAATCAGTTCCCAGTAAACACACACACACATACACACACACACACAAGGGAGGATGGACTACAAGACTGTCTTTATTTGCCATGATCTGTCAATAACTTCCCCCTACTCCTTTCTTGTCTAAACTCTAATTCACCTCACAGAATCTCCGAGGAAGCTCCTACGTTATCAGTGTAGAGAGTATTCCCAGCTCCCGCCCTCCAAGGGGTAAAGTAGGAAAAAAAAAGTGTTTTATATTTTCTGGATATGAAGATTATATTTTAATAGATTATTGTTTTTATACAGTGTGGACTGATTTCAAGAGAGAGTGACTAAAAGCAAGAAAATAACGTTTGTCATTGTTTGTATCCCTTTGTTTTACTCAATTTGCAGAGTAGAGTGCTTGTGATGGTTTAATCAGTAAGCTCAAGTAAAACATAGGACTTAATACAGCTAATCTGTCCTCCCTCAACTAGGAGGGTTAGGCTCACAGCCAGAAATCTACTGAAAAAATTGATGTTTCTATTATCTCATGTGCCCTTGTGTGTTAATGGGTATATGAACAATTGTAAGCTGATGTGATAGTCAGATGTGGAGGAAAGGATGTTCTGGGTGAGTCAGCAGACATAGCTTTGCTTACATGGGGTACATTTTCACTTTTGATCTTCTGTTCTTTTTCCCTACCTGGTGATGAGATCATGTGGTCACAGAGCAGGGAAGTCCTGAGAGTTCCCTAGGAACTTTATTCAGAGTTCCCAGTTGAACTCCCAGCATTGAGGAGTGCTGGAAAGGTGGCTCAGTAAGCAAAGTGATGGCTGAAAAAGTATGAGAATCTGAGGACCCCCAAAGTTTAGGTAAAAAGCCAGGCATGGTGGACAGCATGTGTAATTCCAACATCCCAAGGGACAGAGACAGATAGATCCTGGTGCATTGCCACCCATCTGGTCTAGCTAAATTTGGTGAACTCTGAGTTCCTTACTTTCTGTCTCAAAAAATAAATTGGAGAGTGACTGAGAAAACATATGATGCTGATCTTTGATCTACAAACACACACACACACACACACACACACACACGGTGGGTGAGAGAAAGAGATTTGAGAATGTTTATACACAGGCATACAACCGAATGTACGATGTTGAAACTTATGCCTGAGTTTCTGAGGTCACTTGACTAGGCTTTCAGTTTCTTGTGATAGAACTAACTTGTACTGTCTTAGCATATTCAGATAGTCCAGTGCTCTATATAGGTTTGGCCTAATACATATATTCTGAAACGCCATTTTGTCTTGCTATTATTAACAAAAATGCCTTAGTCTAGTGTATACAAGGGAAAGACAGAACTCTAATAGGACCTTAAAGGAAAAGAGGAGATAAAATCCATGCAGCACAGACACACACTATATATACATATGTATTCATGTACACAGAATGAAATGGTCACTTATCAAACAGGATGTTCCTTCTCCCTTTATCTTCAGAATAACTCAGCAATAGACATTGATGGCATGTACTCAGAATTCAGTCAGACTGGCCATGAAATCCAAGGACAGTTTCTTTGGCCTGTTTCTTACAAATCAATGTTTTCTCCACTTCCTGCTCTGCACACACAGATTTTCACATGCACATCTGGGCAGATTTGGTCACTTAGAAGTAGTAGACAGAGAGGAGAGGGAAAGATGAAGAAAGCAAGCAAGTGTTTTTCCTTATTCCTTTTCCTGTGGTCAGGCCTTTAGAGATAGCTGAATCTCCCTGTGATCTACCTCTGTGGTGCTCCTCAAATTTCTGCCTTTAGGTAAAATGGCTCCTGCCTTTATTTCTCTACGTCATGGAGTGTAATTTTTAGCTATTTCTAATCTCCACTTGCCTCTCTACTTCTGTTTCCACTGTCATTTGTTCAAATACACTGGTAGCATGTGTTCCAATAACAAGTTTTTTCTGTTCAGTCTGGTATGGGGTGTGTTTCTTGACCAAGGTACTCAATGAGCCATCTCCTACCTATCTCAATGGCATTACATTGCATTTGAGATGAGCTAATGCATATACCACCAGTGACACACAATAAAGAACACATCAGGATTAGCCAGTAGTGTTATCTTTAGTTTCTCCAACTTAAATATCTCCAGTGCATGAGAACAAGAGAATCTGAAGTCTAAACTTGGTGAGAAAGTATATTTCAAATGAGAAATGGTTTATAAATGTGCTTAATGCAACCATTCTGTAGTTGTTAGCCACAAACAGTTCATGTGTTTGACCACGTCTAGTGATTGAAAACTCTGCATGGACAGCAAATAGGGTCTTGGGGGAAACTGCTAATGTCTGTTAACGAGCAGCAGATGGGTGCAATGTGGCAGTATATCATTCCAGCTCTGTCTAATCTTGTGTCCATTTGACTGCACTGTGTCTATTCGCATACACGCAAGCACTAGCTGGCTTAGTAGGAGCAATCAACTATGATGGTGTGCATGCTTCACTCTGCCACCCACATCTAACACACTCCAAGTGTTTAAACTAGAACCATCCTGACTTGGTTCCATTACCAGGATGATGGTCTGCGATATAGCTGCGCTCCTACTCTGCTTAGGTCAGCAAATGTTCAAAAGCTGTGCCTCTTCCCTGAGCCTGCTGATGATGCATCCACAATTCCACTACACAGATGCACACGAATGATGAACGATGACCTAAAACAAGCATGTTCAAGTGGTGTTTCACGGCCACTGAAAACCCATCCTCTCATTGCTCTCTCCATCTCAGAACATGGCACCACAATTCACCCATTTGCTGCAACAGAGAGCCAGTTGCCTCTTTGACGCCTTTCTTTCCCCCATCGCTTAACCCCAGACCATCAACAGGTTGGCCCAGTATTCACATGCCCAGCCTTTGTCTCCCTGAAGTGAACCACTGGCTTTTCTTGCCTAGATAGAGATGCTATTCTTCTCCCGACTCTCTTCTCATGCTTTCTTCATTCAATTCCTCCTTCAAAGCGTAGCCAAAGTCATCTTCCTAGAATGTACATCCCATTATATGG